GAGGTTTCCAGTCACTGAATTAACATTCAAACCTTTTGTGCCCTTTTGTAAAGGTCACATGTTTTGTTTCATGTTGGTAAAGGCCTAATTTCAAGGGGCACATCTACACGTTCATTAATGTGCAGTAGTTACTGAGCATTTAATTTAGCGTTTGCCTAATGAAGTACTAACTAAATGCACAGTAACTAGAGTTACTGTGCAGTAGCGCTGGTGAACCAATGGCAAGTCTTTTTAGTGAGACTACTGCACAGTACCCTAATAATACTGTGCAGTAACATATTAGCACTGTCCTTGCTGTGACGCACTACTGTGCCTTAAGCATCTCATGTAGACACACCTAAGGAGTCTCAAAAACCTGCAGTTGTCACTGACTTGATTTGGAGTTACAAGAGCTCAGCACCTTTCCAGACTTGACCCTTACTGGATTTCTCTGTTAGCTACCTATTCAGTGCATGGAAATAAAATAGACACTTATCCTTGGCTGGAAATTAAGATATCGGTGAGAAACCCAACTAGAAGTTAACTCTTTTTGATTCGTGTTGTTTATTTATTTTAAATAAAACATTCATTGCTCTGTGGAATTGGTTCTTATCTATTTCTAGTGGTGCTGGTTTAGAAACAGCATTTTGCCTCCTTTTTCTTTAATGTCTTAAACAAAGTGTATTCAACTCCATTAGATTTCCATTTTGTGCCTGTGCTGGAATTATCTTTTAGAGAAGTTCTTTTTATTGAAATTTCTCTCCAACCATGTAAAGCTCATCCATTAGGAGAGCAGAAGACAATATTTTAGGAAGCATTTGGGAGCTGTGGTGAGATCAATATGAGTTTTATACCTGAGTTTACGGAGAGTTTTTCAAGGAAGCTTTTGCTAAAGGGACAACTGCTTAGTTTGTTTCATGATACTGGCCATAGTTATGAGACGTTGACTGCACAGGTGTTACTACGCAGTCATTTAGTACTTGCATACAGAAGTACTAAATGACTGTGCAGTAACTGCAGTTACAGTGCAGTAGCATCCCCAAACTGCTTTTTGGTGACGCTGACTGTGCCATACCTTGTTGCTACTGTGCAGTAACGTTGCATCATGTTTCATGCCATGTGACACTGCTGTACAGGAGTGACAATCTACTGCATAGTAGTAACAAGCTACTGTGCAGTCAGCATCTCATGTAGATGCAGCCACTATGAGCTACTTTTGTGTCTATAAAGATGTCAGCGGAAAAAGAAAATACCCCAGACCTACGGCTGCTGAAGGAATGTAATAATTTAGACAATGGTAACATTGCAAAAATTAAAGGTATGTGCTTAAATTGGATTGGCTAACCTGGTTTAGCAGACTTCTGTTAAACTAACAGCAGAATAGATAGTCTCAGCCTTAAGTTTCTGTAGTTCAGCACGGGCTCTTTACATGATTTGAGTATAGACAGTACAGTGATTAAAAGTTCTATTATAAAATACAATAGAGGATATGTTATGGCAACCCTTTCCTGCTTAGAACTTCCAGCAGTATCACCATAGTTTTAGGCTAGTCTTTCTAAAGTCTAATTTTCAATGCCATATTGAAGACTACATTTAGCTTAATTTCAGCTTTCATTACTCCTGTAGAGTTTCTGAGAGTAATTTAAAGTAAATTAACAAATTATGTGGTTAGTTAATAGGGCTGTGTGAAGCTTCGGTCCCTGATTCGATTCGTCAGAGATTCGGCCTGATTTGGTGGCTGAATCTCCGAATCCGAATTGAATTAGGAGACTCTTTAATGTCTCCGAATCGAATTGGAACCCTCCGAATCAGTTTGGAGAGATTCAGAAAGATTCGGAGATTCGGACATAAACACAGCTTTAAATGTTTTTTCTACATACCTCGAGGTACCAGGTGGCTCGTGAATGCTGTGATGCTGAGGCAGATGGAGTGTCCCACAGGAGTGTGGAGGGCTCCTCAGAATGCTCGGCAGCAGACCTGGAAGTGGACCAGAAGCACTTCCGGTCCACCTCTGGGTTCACTGCTGAGCATGTGGGGCACCCCCGTACACTCCTGTGGGACGCTCCATCCAGCCCAGCATTGCAGCATTCACGAGCTGTGCTTGGTACCTCGAGGTATGTAGAGAAGACATTTAAAGCTGTGTCTATGGCTGAATCGCTGATTCTCCAAATCAGCATCGACTCTTCATATTTGGATCAGCATAGTAGTAGCCAGAAAACACAGCTGCAAGCATGTATTGCAGCTGCTCTGAGCACCCAGCTACACTGTTGCACTTCTGCTCCTGTTCAGTATTTTTCCATATTGTGATTGCATTGTGTTCAGTGCTGTTCAACCAATTACAAATTTTGTCCATGCTATCCTGATTTCTAGCTCAACTGTTGCAAAAGTCATTCTGTATGTAGGAGGAGTTCTTCCTGGTCAGTATATTTTGTAAAACTGTGTCTTGGACTTGGGCTTCTAGTAGCACTTTCTCAAAGTCTTGTGAGAAACACCTTACAAGGCCAATCTAGTACATGGGGTTACAAAACAAGTTTCTTATCCAAACTGATTCATAATGCCTTAGCTGTTGACATTCAAATTTTTCATTTCAAACCAAGTCATGAGTGCTGAAGAAATAACTTACATGAATTTAGTTGCCCATTATGAGTGTGGCCTTTTTTTTTCTCTTATAATGTGCGTTGCTCATCAGTATGGTCTTTCCTATGACTAGATCTTTTTCTTCTGTCATAATTGAATCAAATGGGCGTGCACCTACACACTTATTAATGACACAGAGGAAATATTTGCCAGGGACAAACAAATTCTTCTAACCTTGTTAAGAGCCAACTTCACCAGTACTCTAATCACTAAAAAGACAGGAAATAAGGAAGCTATAAAATGTATCAGTATGTGACAAAATATATTTTGCCAGCACTGATTATTATGTTTCTTGAAAAACACCTTTCTCATACAAGCATAACCACCTCAGGCATTCCAGCACATGCATTTAATGTTCCTTTCAGTGCTGGATCCATACAGTACTCTATAGTACCCAGAAGTTTTACTTTCTTTACTATCTTCCTCTAGAGGTTTGGACAACATAGGACAATCTGTTTGCTACAGGTGACCAAGTACCAAGCTGCTTGTGCCATCTTTTGGAAATGATGGCCTGATTCACCCAGTTCCCAAGGAATGCAAGATAGCAATGGAAAAGTTTCCATCATTCCCTGTTCCAGGAATAACACATTCCTTATGCAGTGCCATATTAACAAAACTACTAGCCGTACTCTGTCTTAACACAGAAAATATGCAGACTTTAGTTACCTTCTCCAAGGTCAGATGGGCTAGGAACAGGTATTCAAAGAGCCTGAGACTGAATTGATTCAGTCTTTGCAGGTTAGACTAACCTGACTAGGCTAAACTGGTTTGTAACCACATAGACATCCCAGAAATGCAGGCACATGCTTGCAGTGGTTCAGGCTAGAAGATGGGGGGTGCTAGAGCAGCCCTCCCTTCCGTTCGACAGTGCTGAGCTGAGGGGAGCGTGCGCAGGCCCCGGCAGGACACTCTGATTAGGGAGGGGTTCCCCTCCCTCCTCCCCGCAGCCCAGCAGGCAGTTGATAACAATGTTTATCACCCCTAACTCAGTGTTTATCAGCCCATTAAGAAAACAAAGAAAACAAAAGTTTCATGGATACCTGTTGATTCGCTCCAAAAAGCCCTAAGTGGGCAGAGTCCTGTCTGCCTTTGTCCAGTTTCCCACAGCACATATGGTAACCAGCATGTGGTATGATAGCTAATGCTGAGAGGTGTCTGTGTAAGGCAGAGGGGAGGGAGGAATCCCTGCTCAGCAGGGAGTGGTGAGAGGAGGAGCAGGAGCAGGGGGCCAGGGCTGCTTGAGCTGCAACCTGGGGAGCAGAGGGACAGGGCCAGCCCTGCTGTAGAATAGAGAGCCCCACCCAACCCAGAGAGCATACTGGGATGCTGGGGGAGTCTGGTTTAATTAAACCAGGAAAGGGTCTGGGACAGACATTGCATAAACTGGTTTGACCCAAATCAGTTAAGTCTGATACTACATTCAACCAGGTTTATCTCCAATTGGTTTCAGCCATTTTCAACTTGTTTTATGTGCACTAGGCATCTGTTCTGTTACAGTTTTAAACCAGTTTCTGATCATTTAAACCGGTTAATGTGTAATGTCTGTCCCAAGCCATGATGGAGAAGCCTGTTGATGTAGATGTCCATTGACTGTGGTAACTTAAAAAAATAAAGGAATACAAACTTTTCTGGGATTTGAATAGTGAGACTGATTATATCAATTTCCAGATGGTATGAGTGGATTTTCTTTCATGTGGAGTGCCCTTCCCATTCTGTAAATGTCTGTATTGACATCTTCAGTTTGTTGCACTGAATCTATTGCTTGACATGTAATATTGAGTCAGTTTATGTATTATATATAGTATTAACATTTCATCTAGCCCAGTGATTGGGAACCTTTATGCAATGGCAAGCCATGATGACCTGGCTCAGGTCCAAGGTTGGCTGTTGCCATTGTCACTGCTGCTGCTGCTTCTCCCTGCTGCCTGGCTATGGCACAGGTGAAGCTCTGCACTGCTGGCTAGTGTGACACAGTGCAGGTGAAGTCTCCTACCTCCAAAGCCCCCCAGCACTCAGCTGCAGTGTGGGCAACGCCCTTTGCTGCCAAATGCCATTGAAGCTTTTTGGGCCCACTGGCCAGATCCAATGGCTCTGTGGGCTGGATCCAGCCTATGAGCCACAAATTGGTGACCCCTGTCCTAATACAAAAGAATGATATTATCAGCCTGATGTTCTTGTATCCAGAAAGTGCTAAGAATCATTGTGCACATGTATATATGTGTATATACACACACACAGTATGAAGTTGATGATGTTGTTGCACATATGCTCACACAATTTTTACGCATGCTACAACATCTTGCCATGCATAATTGGTAAAAGTCACTTTCTGGCTTATTTGAAAATGAAAAGATGTTGAGGAAGTACATCTTTTTTTTTTTTAGTCATTGAGTCAAAGACCCTGCAGGGAGACAAGGGAGAACACAGCTTTAATGCCCCTGGAACATTTATCATAGAGAACACAACTGTTGAATTTCAGAAGCCTACAGATAGAGAAATCCTAAAGATCCAAGGTCCTTTGGGAGCAGATTTCATTATCAAGGTAGGATGTATGTGTTTATGCTCTTTGAACCAAGATATTCGAAGTTCATTTATATGAAAAGGCAAGGAAAGTGAAGGTGTACAACCATGGTCAGAGTGACTCTAAATTTTCTTGTTCTTTACATGTATGCTATGCTGGACCAGTGAATCCTGGACCACAGTGCGGCAGCACTGAACTACAACCTTAATCCTTCAATCAGATTTACATGGGCAGACTGCTGCACCCATATCCACTGATTTAAGGGGAGATATTCAGATTCAGACCATATTCAGATTTGAATAAGTTGCAGAGAAGGGTGAGGGTTTCACATAGAGTTCACACAAAAGAAGATGCAGCAACTGGCCTGCCAGTCAGTTTAGGAACCTTGTCCATCCGTAAGGATCTCCACTATGATTTACTTCTTATGGCATTTGCTTTTCTGGTGAAGTTAGCAAACTCTCTAAAGTTAGATGTGTGCATATTGAGAGAGAGGGCTGAACAATATATAGAGGTAGAAGAAGAAGAGGTAGAAGAAAAGCAAGATAGAGATGAACTGGAAAAAGGAGGCCAGTTGCATCCAATCCTTTACCCTCTACCCATTCCTGAATCTGCTTATGTAAGAGAGGACATCACTAAGGAACACACGTCTGTTTTCACTTTAAGTTTTAAATGTGAATAAACTTAAAGTTCACTTGGAACTGATGCATTTTATACAATTGCATTTCAAAGACATGTTACTGCCCAGGTTCCCTTAAGAGATTGGTGAACCTGAACACATTTCCAGTGCGCCTGGCATTAGGTTTCAGGTTTCCCAAACTGACATGAAACAGCTCTATCCCCACTGTGCAAAGAGAAGGAATTTTCTATCTGAAGATTTTAGAATAATCAGAGGTGAAAAATCAAGAGTGAAGGCAATATTTTTAAAGTGTGTTGCTGAAATTCCCCCCACCCCACAGTCTGATGAAACGCTCTACAGACAGTTGTGTATGGATGTGTAGCATGGGTGGAGAGCAGGTAGGAAGCCCTGTTTGAAGCCGCTGTTCAAGTAATGGAACATGAGGATGATGATACATGTACATGCATATTTGCACATACATTGCTGCCCATTTTTTTTTTACTTTTTTCAAATGGGCATTTTCGAAAGGGCATTCTCATTTGCTCTTTTTGTTACAGACTGACTTCAGTGACTAATTTTGAAACTGGAAGTTATTAGAATTTTTAAACACTTCTTTTCTATGGTTGTTTGAATTTAACAGTTGTTCACCTTTAGTTAATTTGCAAGGCAAAATAGCCTACCTATTAAATTATTCCAATATTTTGTATATGTTAACTATAACATAGATATACTGGAAAAGGTCTTTTTTGTCCTTTTTCTAAATTATTTTCTGTCACTACAGCTTCACATTCCTTCTGTATAAGTTGTCATTGACTATTTTTGGATATTTCCTGTAACATTTTGAACAATAGAATGAAGGAACAAAATGTCTTTCTGATTTTAAATGGACAGCTCATTTGGAGGAGATGCCAAAAACCATGTGTATATAAGATGTAACTCCCAGAAGGGAAGCAACATTCTTGGGTTTTAATAATTTTCATGTATGGCTTCCCATCATTCTTATTGTTATTACTATGATTTTTCATACAGGAGTCAAAATGGGATATGGGCTTCTGACATAAACCCAAACAGATTACATTTAATTACCCACCAACATAAGAATTTTAAGAAGATTCTCCCCAGTGAGGATCCACAATCAAACAAATGCTTAACATGAAAGGTGTGTCTTGCCCCATGTTCTGAAGATCATAAACTCTGCTGTTACTGGACCATCAAAGGAGAGCCAGTTCTACAGAGAAGGTCCTTTCACTGAAGTTGCCCTGCTTTCACTCTTTGATAGCAGGAAGAAGTTGCAGTTTGTTTTTAGAATATCATATTTTCAGATAGGATTGTTGTTCACACAGCTTTTACCCTTGGGGACAAAGCCTGACTTCTCCTGATGGTTCACTCTCCTTGTGAAGATTCAAAACAGTCTGTGGGTGTCATCACTGCTTATAAATGTACTTAGTCCTTCTAATGAAATTTTGGAGAATTACTTAGGAAAGCTCAAACAAGACACTTCTTTAGGTGGCTAAACTCCTATAGATTTCTGTAGGAGTTAGGTGCCTAAAAACCTTTCTGGATCTGTCCCTTAGGAGCTAAAATACAGAACTGGAGCCTGGCCTGCTTTAAGTTATGAATATCTTATATTTATAAACCAACTTGCATCCCTGTGATACCCTAATACATTACAAACTATAAATAGAAATCCCTTCACCTACTGGTGAGCTAAAGAGGGGTGGTTATCTCATGGTGCATAGCATCACTGCAAAATAGATTAGAAGGCAAAGTCCAAAAGAAACCTATTTAATTAAACTGCAGAGGTAATTTAGATAACTAGCCAAACTGAAAGTTCATCAGAAGTCTGGGGCTAAACACCCTTACTCTGGTGCAAAGTGCCTGGAATTTTTAAATGCTCAAAAATGGCCCAGATTTTTATTTCAAATTCTATTTAAAGGATAATGCCCTAATAGTCTGTAGAATAGCGATATACCATTGGTTCAATATTAATTCAGTGGGAAAGTTGCCACCTACTGAATCACCTGAACCATTCCAGCAGCACTTTTGGTTCCTGTAGTGGGTCCATCAAAGTCTTGACCCTGCCTGATCCTTCTTAGTTATTGGTCTGCCCTGACACAGGCTGACTTTTTGTATTCTATATGCAAACTTTTATGTGTCTAAACAAATCAGTAACTTGACTCATACAACTTTCCACTAAAAACAACAATCTGATATAGATGCACTTGGTTGATTGTCCTTTGCTTTGCATGTTGTAGATGTGCACACTTATTAATGTGCATTATTTTATGCCTCAAATACTGTGCACAAACCTAAGTTGATCAATGGCTGCCTGAAGAGGAATCTGAATACTGGGTTCACATTTAAGTTCCATACACCTCCTACTGAATTTTGAAAATGTAGCCCACAGTGTAGTAAGACAGCAGGACACATTCAGGATCTTTGGCTGTCAAGGGGGAAGAAAATCATACCAGAGGGATTTCTCAGCACTTCAGTTAGTGGCATGAGAATAACTGGAAAAAGGCAATGTACATATGTTTGATTAGTGAAAAACTCTGTTTAACTGTGTTGTGCCAGATTTCTGTGTGGTTTTCTGCCTATTGCCATATTGCTGTCAACACTGATATCATACATGAATTATAGTATGAAATGACATAAGTAGTGGTGTACAGCATATAACCCTGTTTAATGGAAATCTTTTTAGACCAGGTATACTGCCCCCAAAGACAGTGTGGTTCAATTCTTTTTCTATCAACCCATAAGTCATCAGTGGAGACAGACAGAGTTCTTCCCCTGCACTGTGACATGTGGAGGAGGTAAGTAATGGAGTGTTTACAGCTGTAGATTATAAAGGGATGATTTACAACATTCATCTTTTTTTTAATTGTTGAAATATGTTTATGCTGCATTGCACACAGTTTCTTGTTCAGATGAATAACTGACTGAGTAGAAGGTAGCATGTATAGTTAGTTAATATGTGCATAATTGTTTTCTGTTTCATGTCTTGCCATATTATCAAAAGTCAGCACAAATAAGAAGTGTTTTTATGAGAGAGAGAGAGTAAAAAAAAAAACACCCAACCCCAGAAGAGTTCTGAAGGTGTGGAATGAATGAGTGAAAAAGAATGAATTTCAGTAAGAGTACAAGATGAACAACGATCAAATACGAAGATAGGGATTATCAGGAGACAGATGTGAGGGAGGAACCATTTCTGACCATAGCATTAAAAGTGAGCAGGAGGATTTTAGAACACTACAGAGTGACGGGGAAGTCAATGGAGATACCCTTTGGATCAAGGAATGGGAAACACGGGAAGTCACAAATAAGTTCTTAGTGACAAATCCCACTCGTCAGCTTACTGGCTTTGAATTAACATGGTGAGAGTGGTCTCTGTTAAACAGGTTCAGGACAGGGCAAGACCCCTGCGCAGCCAGCCTCCACCGCTGGGGCCTCAGTGCTAACCAACTGTACTCTTGTGGAGAGACACAAACAATGTTACACATTATTGAGGTGTGTCCCCGCTACAGACCAAGAGGTGGATTAATAGCTTTGAACTCAGTAAATGAGAAGTCTATTGCTTGGCTCCACAGATTTGCATTTGCTAAATAAACAAATAATAAATGGAGCAAAGAAAAGAGACAAAATATGTGAACAGTAAAAGAAAAAATAGACTTTGTGCATTGTATCAGACCAAGTGGAATGGCCACAGATGACTGTGTATGGAAAATTGCAGAAATAGAGCATGTGGGTCAGATTTTTCTTGTATCCAAAAAATAGACACATGTAGATGATAATGTTTAGAAAGTGAGATAAGTAAGATTTTAAAACAAATGTGCATGGTCAAAGGTAGTATGAGGAAGTAATGCACCTTACAAACTAACTATGTAAGATATGTGGAGAGCTCAAGCTTTCGTGAACTCAAGTTCACATCCTTAGATACTGTGAGAGGACAGAATAGAATGTGCCTAAAGGGAATGAATGACTTGAATATAAAAGGTGGAAAAGAGGTGGGAGAGGAATGGGAGTAGAGGGGAGGTGGATGGTACTTGGAGAGGCATACATTCAGAGAACCCATAGGAACAAAGGGGTCACAGAAGCTAATGCAGGTAATGCAATAAAAAACCGTAGTCCATGTTTAAACCATGCTTAACACAGTCCCATTTGTGAATTGCATCAGAGTACCTGGAAAAGAGCATCATTAGTGCTGAAAGGTAAAAGCTGAGTCAGGGTACAAAGAGGAATGGTGCAAGAGGAGTGGTACAGTGTTTAAGGTCCTCTTGTAAATTTTTTGGTTGACTGCAACCGTACTTATTTTGTCCTTGTTTCTCTACTCTGCTTTTGACAGTGACACCTATTTTGAACTTCTGTACTCATTTGCCCTTGGTGAAAGTTAGCGGGATGTCAACTCATACTTCCACTTGTGGCTTAGTCTCCAAAGATTACAAATCCAGGGGATTAGATGTAATGCAGCTCATCTCCTCCAGACCTCCAATTATGTCCCATGCAAACATGGTGGTTGGTAGAGCAATAGGCACAGGAGGTGTCCTAACCACCAGTTTTACACTGGTGTAGATTCATCTAACACAAGGAAATTTGCTAGGGGCTGTCTAATTTCTATTCCATATTCATTCTCTTTAGGAATACACTAGTGTTGGTCATGAAGACTACGCAAAGCAAAGTGGTCTATATAATTAGTCAACTATTGCAGGTCCCCATTGAAGTGTGATTTATCAAAGAGTTTTAAGAAAGTAAGAAAGCACTGTCATATTTTAAGGCCAAGTGAATGGGTTCGTTCCTCCACTCCATCTCAAAGCAGCCATTCTTTTCTTTGTGCCTTACTTCCCCTCAGGTAAAATGCAGATAGTATCTACACAGGATTGCCATTCATGGGTCTAATGCCTCTAACCACTTTATGAGGCATTATTTTTCATTGGGTGTATAAGTCGGAATTCAAATTCTCTCATTATACCATCACATGGAATTAGAAGTCCAAGCAGTTTTGTCTTGCTGACCTCCCAGATGAAGCAACATTAATTATTGTACTGTTACTATGAGCTCTGCAAACAAAACACTGGAAGACTCAGTGAGCACCTCTTTCTTCAGGGTGGTTGGTTCAAGTCCAGTGTCAGATAATATGGTCTGAAAATTATTGCTATCTGGTGGCTGCTTGTTCTCTTTAAACTTAGCTGGTGGGTTCCATCTGCTCCTTTAAAGATGGCTGTCCATATTATGAGACTGACTTCTTTATTGTTAGATCTTGGTGCTCTTGAAGGTAGTCCTGAGAGCGCCCAGGAACTGAATGATCATGAAGACTAAATTATCTTCCTACCCAAGCAAGTAGCAGTGTCGAGGGTGGTGCATTATTGGGGCAAGTAGGGAAGTTTGTATTGCTGCTTTCCAAATGTAAATGTATTATAGAGGATTTGTTCTGCAGGGTGTTTGGCCTCTTTTCTCATTACTAAAATAACTCAGATGTTTTAAAAAGGAAAAGTTCCACATAACAAGAAAAGTGGAATTAGCCACACCATTGTTTCTCAGCAGAATCATTTCACATTCAGTCATGTAATCTGTATGTGTGGGTCAGAGGTGTGTCTGGGAGTGTCTCAACAATCAAATTAAAATATCTAAGAAAGTTTTAAAAACTTACATTAGTTTTGTTTGCAACTAGCATTTCTTCTGGGTCATTCCTCACAAGAACTGGCATGTGCATGCTTCAAGCACTGGAATAGCTTAGACTTTCTTTATGGTTATCACCCTCATGCATGATTTGGTCATTTTGGAGTGATGGTGCTAGCTGTCATAGTCCAAGAATTATGCAAGAGGCAATCATTTTTATAGGTAATAATTTTAATTGGACCAACCTCATGATTAGGATTGTGTGTCCCATTTATAAAAGAGAAGCCACTGATATATGATACCATAGAATTTTTAGTGGGCACTGGCACTAATGCTTTTAGTTTATTGACTCTATTTGGATTTTCATTCTTGTGGTTTCAACCAGGTTTTTGTAGCACTTAGCAGAACAGCCTTCTTTTCTCCTCAATTTGTGCAAGTCAGTGCTTGTGAATAAACCTTTTTTATAGCCAAGAAAACAGCCTAGTAGTGAATAAAATTCAAATCTCTTCTATTAAGAGATTCTGCACGCACATTTGTATCAAGTAGTCACTTCAGGTTTTCTTTTGTTGGCCCTTTAGCCAGCAGTGCTTTTGAAACTGCAGCTTGATTTTCGACAGCTTAACTTTACAACATCTTTGATCTCATCTTCTATTCCTATGGCTTTCTCTTTTCTGCATGCATCATCATGTAATGCAGATGTTACTAACATGCCCTCTAAACCATTCTGTTCAGGTTTTATAAATTATAGACAGACAAAAGAGCTACCCAGTTAAGGACCTCAAATATTGACAGATGAGCCAACTGCAACCAATTAAGAATGTGTGTGCAGAGCACCTTCATAAAATACTGCTGAAACAATGGGTCAGACTCTCAATTACAGTTAAACAATTAAGCTTCCTTCACATTATTGAGAGTATGCTGATTTACACCAGCTGAAGATGTGGTCCTATGTCCCAGTACAGTGTTACCTAATTAAAAACAAATATAACAAAAAAAATAATTGAGATGAGTTCAAAGGAAGGTATGGTATTTGCAAAAGGAAATCTGCTAGAATTTACTGTTTCCCCTATACAACTTAGCTTATTTGTCTTTTGTTTCCATGTTAGGTTATCAGCTTAACTCAGCTGAATGTGTGGATGTTCGTTTGAAGCGTGTTGTTCCCGATCACTACTGCCACTACTATCCAGAAAATAAGAAACCAAAGCCTAAACTAAAGGAATGCAACATGGATCCCTGTCCTTCTAGGTTTGTGAGACAAATATTGAAGAAAATAGTTTATTTGATTAATGAGGGATGATATATCATATTTATTTGACTTCGCACTTCTTTCATCTGTAGAATTGAATAGTCTTAAACAGCTATGACATTATGGAAGGCTGGCATTTGTCACCAACATAATCAGACACATAGCAGCTCCTCAAATTTGTGTAAGAGAAAGAAACTTTGCTGAATAATGTTTAAAAAATCCATTTTTCTTTGTTCTTGGTTTGATTGTATATTAGGCTTTTTTGCCGAGCCATGTGGCACTAGTGCATGTATTTTGTGCACTTATATAAAAGGACAGGGCATGTCCTGCTTTTGGATTTACTGATGGTGTAATTTGGGATTTCTCATTAAGCATAGGTGTCTAGCACATTGTTTATCCTATTTTATACATCTACTTGCTATAAAAATCTTATTCATTATTTGCACTCAGCAGTGGTCACACAATAATGAAAGTTTTGTGATTCTTTGTAAGCTACAAGATAGGCAGAGAAAATAAAAAAGTAAAGGTACTTGTAGTGTAAATGCTATAGAATATTATTGCCAAATCATAAAGGCAACAGTACAGTATACATAATTCTATTGAATTGCACACTGGTATTTAAAACTAACTTTTTGGATTGTCTGGTGAGGTTTCCTGGCTATACTAAAGCATCTTAAAATAACATCATGGTATCAAGTCCCAGAACCTCACATTAATGTGCCAGCTGGCTGAGCTAGAGTTATATACATAAAAAAAGGAAACACTCTCAATAGATTTCATTTCCTATAGCTAAACTGTCCATTTCCTTTAATCCCCACTGAACATAAATATGGATATTGACCTCTGCTAAATATAGGTGCACAGAGTTTAAAGTTCTTGCTAAAGAGCAAATCACTAAGCAGAATGGGAAGACTGATACAATATAGCTGACATCACTAAAGTGAAGAATGGTACCTAATTGGTGTAGTAGCAATACAGATAGAAAAGTAGACATTATGGCTCCCTTCATTAATAGAGGATGAGCAGAAATTCTCTTAAGAACAATATTATACTTCATTTCTCCTTACTGGCCTGAGGAATAGACTTTACCTTAGCTTTGGGACTAAGCCTACTAGAGTTGAGCAACTACTACTATTCATATAAGCAGCAGTTAAGAGTGCTTACCCATCCTAGACTGAATCCTGGCTATGTATTTTTAAACCATATGCCCCTTACACTCATTCCTTTATTAAAGGTCTCTGTATGTGTCCCTTTTCTTGTTAAGAAATGACTGCAGGTTCTTGGGAAAATGGCACAACCCCATAGGAGTCTTACATAGCAGGATTATCTGAAAAATATTCAGAGATCATTCATTTCCCTTTGGAGAGAAATAGCCTTTTCCATTTATTGGGACGAAATGATAGGGTTAAATTATTAGGAGTATTTGTTGCAACTTCAGAAAGGATGAGTGCTCTACAGAAAGATCCTGTAACAGGTCTGAGAATTTATGACCTTGTGGTGAAAATTTCTTATTTTAAGCTTGGGTGTATATAACATGTAGAGTAGGTATCATCTTGGAGATGAGAGATAATGATGAAGTATGTTTTTTTATTGCAGTGATGGATTCAAAGAAATCATGCCGTATGATCACTTCCAGCCACTTCCTCGGTATGTAGGGTCACTGTAATGATTAGGCCAGTGTTGGGATGGAATTTCCACTGAGAATTAAGTATTCAAAGAGCATGGAACATTATCCTTTGACTGTAAATAATTATTATAGTGGTTGTTTAAAACTGTACAAAAAAAGCAGATTTGGGGAAGACTCTTATAAATTCTTCTTTATATGTATGATTGACCTAAATAGGACTTGCATTGAAAGTAGTTTATCATGTTTGCAAATGTCTGCAATAAAACCCTATTAGATTATAATCTCTTACTGAAAAGGTAATGATCTGCCAAAGCTTCCTTTAAAATGTATTTATTTATCCATTTCTTTATTTGAAAATATGTTTTGATTTAATAGTCAGAAAATGCCTGAATTTGCCATGTCTGTTACTATTTGTAGTGTGATGCATTAGCAATTAATATTGTGCTTTTAAAAATATATTGTTCTACAATTAAAACTAAGATCACCAGGGGATGGGGAAACACTGACTGGAGCATGCCCAAGTTCTGGCACACAAGAAAGCTCCAAAGTTGGGGACACCAGGAGAGCCACTCTTGCAAGAGCTGAGGGAATGGTTCTCCCTCAGCATGACAGGAAATTAAGGGTCTCAATTGGAGGACTCAGGTGCCTGTAAACTAATGCCAGGAGAACAGGGAACAAGTAAGAGGAGCTAACCCTCCTACTCTCCAGTGGGCATTACCATTTAGTAGAGATTATGGAGACCTGGTGGGACTCTTTATATAATTGGAATTTAGCCATAGAGGGCTACACCCTGCACAGAAGGGTCCAAGTAGGAAAGAAAAGCGGAGGTGTAGCTCTGTATGCGAGGGAGCAGTACACCTCCTTGGAGGCTGACATCTGCTCCAAAGAAGAGTGGCTCTAAACTCTCTGTGTCAAACTAAGACGGGGTGGGGAGAACCTAACTATAGGTGTATACAGTGAGAGAGACCTAACTGTAGGTGTATACAGACCACCAAACCAGGGGAAGGAGCTCGAACTGGAGTTCTCTTGAGAACTGGCAGAGGCTGCGCACACACGGGACATGGTCATCACGGGTGACTTCAATTACCCAGACATCTCTTGGGAGGAACACTCAGCTAAGTTGGATCAGTCACATTGCTTCCTGACCTGTATCGAAGAGCTCTACCTGACTCAGGAAGTGCACGGGCCAACCAGAGGTAATGCTCTCCTAGACTTGGTCTTGGACAAAGGAGACGATCTGTGAGTGACTTGAATATAGAGGGTAGCCTGAGCAACAGCGATCATGAAGCCATCACGTTCACTTTCTGTCACAAGGCAGGCAAATCAGCTAGCAGGGTTGAAGTTATGGACTTCAAAAAAGCGAAACTCAACAGGCTCAGGGCAATAGTAGGGGAAGTGCTATTGGAGATCAGGGACTGAAGGTGAAAGGAGTGCATGAGGAGTGGTTGTTCCTCAAGGACATGATCCTCGAAGCCCAAAGGAAGTCCATTCCTATGCAGAGGAAAGGTAGCAGAAGGGCTGGTGCAAGCCCTCTTGGCTTAATAAGTATATCATGGTCCTCTTGAAAAAAGATCAAAGGGTCATACAAATAGTGGAAGCTTGGGACAGACTCCAAGGAGGACTATACAACAACGGCCCGCACTTGTAGGGAGCAGATTAGAAAGGCTAAGGTGAAGAATGAATTTAAACTAGCAATGGAAATCAAGGACAATAAGAAGTCCTTCTTTAGATATGTAGGGAACAGGAGGAAAACAAATGGAAACATGGGGCCATTGCTTAACAACTCAGGATAGCTGGTTACAGACATGCAGGAGAAAACTGAACTCCTGAATGACTACTTTGCTTCGGTATTTCACAGGACTAAGGGGAAAATCGTACTAGAGAAGGTTCGGAATGGGCATGGTGGGAATGCCCACCTTCCTGCTGTTGATGATGAGGTGGTGTGTGATCAATTAGAAAAGTTAGACATTTGTAAGTCAGCGGGACTGGATGAACTTCATCCGAGAGTGCTGAAGGAGCTGGCCAAAGTCATCACGGGACATCTGGTGAACTCTTCCAAAACTCATGGTGTTCAGGTGAGGTCCCTGAAGACTGGAAGAGGGCCAATGTTGTGCCCATCTTCAAGAAGGGGAGGAGAGAGGACATGGGCATCTATAGTCCAATTAGCCTAACTTTTTTCCCAGGGAAAATCCTGGAAAAATTAATCAAGGACTCTATGTGCAGCATGCTTGCAGAAGGTAGGATTCTGAATGACAGCCAGCATGGCTTCGTCATGGGCAGATCTTGTTTTACCAATCTCATCTCCTTCTGCAACCAGGTAACTCACCACCTGAATAAGAGAGAGGAGGTCGACATTGAATACCTAGACTTCCAAAAGGCCTTTGATCTGGCATCCCATGATGTTCTCATGGGAAAATTGGAGGATTGCAGGCTTAACTGCTCGACAGTCAGGTGGGTAGGAAGCTGGCTGTGGGGTAGGACCCAGAGAGTTCTAATGAACGGATCTGTGTTGTCCTGGCCAGTGGTGTCCCTGAAGTGGTCAGTGGTGTCCCTCAGAGGTCTGTGCTTGGTCTAGTGCTTTTCAGGATCTTTATCAGTGATTTGGATATGGGGTGAACAGCTCACTGGCCAAGTTCACAGATGACACCAAGTTGTCACACATGAGCGTGGTCACACTTGAAGACAGGCTGCCGATACAGGCAGACCTAGACAGGTTGGCAAGTTGGACAGATCAGAACCAGATGAAGTTTAACATTGAGAAGTGTAAAGTGCTCCATCTGGGAATGAACAACTCCCAACCTATTTACATGCTTGGTGGTATCAAACTGACTAGCACTACAACTGAAAGGGACCTAGGGGTAATAGTAGACCATAGTGTGAACATGAGCCATCAGTGCAATGCTGTAGGCAGCAGTGCAAACAATACTCTGGCATGCATCAACCAGTGCATCTCAAGCAAAACCAAGGAAGTGATTCTTCCGCTGTACTCAGCACTGGTGAGACCGCAGCTGGAGTACGGTGTCCAGTTCTGGGTGCTGCACTTCAACAAAGACGTGGATGAGCTTGAGAGAGTCCAGAGAAAAGCCACCCATATGATCAGAGACTTGCAAGGCAAGCCATACGAGGAAAGGCTGAGGGATGTGGGCCTCTTCAGCCTAAAAAAGAGAAGGCTGAGAGGGGACTTGGCAGCAGGTTACTGCTACATCAGAGGAATAAATCAAGGGGTTGGTGAAAAATTGTTCACTAGGGCACCCTTGGGGAAAACCAGGAGTAATGGCCACAAACTCCTGGAATACCATTTCAGGCTTAACACTAGGAAAAACTTCTTCACAGTTAGGGTGTCCAGACTGTGAAATAAACTCCCAGAGTTGGTACAATCACCTACCCTGAAAATCTTCAAGAAGAGACTGGATGGTCACCTTGCTTGGGTTACCTGAGCCCAGTTGTCTTTCCTGCTTAGTGCAGGGGGGCTGGACCCAATGATCTTGCGAGGTCCCTTCCAGCCCCTTACAATCTATGAATCTATTAATCATTTTAATGGTTTATTCCTGAATCACCCCTTCCCAATACAGTCTAACACAATTTCCTTGCATTGTTGTTTCATGTCTTGAATGGCTTAGTCAGGACAACAGCTGGAAAGAAGGCTTATTTCACTAACATGGGAAAAGTTTGTATGGCTTTGTCCATGGCAAAGGAGACTATATTTATAGTGGGCTTGTAGGCAGCTGTTCTCATTTCAAGAATTAAGAATGACAGATAAGGAATCATATGGCTCCAGGTCTGTTCTGGCAGACACAGGTATGGTCCTTGTAGGCCAGGCCTCACTAAGAATTGCCTTGGTTCCAGGGAGCTACAACCACCTTGTTTGTAGAGGCCAGAATAGGGCCGGCACAGGCCCAGAAGTGAATGGCATTGACAGGGAAGGAATGAAAGCAAAGAAGATGATTCAATGTATCCCTAATTCAGCCTGCTCTGGGACAGCTTCTAAAGGGACCATATGATTTTTAAAGCTGTGCTAACCTAAGAGAACTCTTAGAGGAGGTCAGCAATTAGAACTCTTGGTCTGTTTGCACCTGCAGCAGGGGCACGTTTGACCTGGCAAGGATCTAAATACTCTTTGGCTATTGCAGTCTATGACTGTTTTGTGCTATAAAAATGTAAAGTAGTTGAGCTTTGCCTAGGTGACACTAACTCTGCTTTTTGCCTGTTTGTAGGCTGAACAGGGTTGTTCACACATACCAGACTTGAAAAAAAGCAGTCATTGTGCTCGAGCAAACTTCTACTTTGACCAGCGGTCATACCTCACGCCTCCAGCATAGCTCAAGGGCCATGTGCAGGCCTGTTTTGCGATTCTATGGAATTCACCACCACTTTCCCATTCAAATGAGGAAGTTGTGGGAAAGTTGATGGTGTAAACGACAGGATCTTGAAAGAGCTCTTCTGCGGCTGGAGCTGTGATTGCCCCACCGAAATATTTTGACAGATGGAGAAATCTTTTGAAATAAATAGAAAAATTTCCCAGGGTAAAAATGTTCTTTTAAAGCTTTTGGAACGCCTCCATTTACTTCAGACTTGTTGGGCTATTGAGGATCCCTTGACAGCTGTGGGTTCTGGAAAGTGTCTCCTTGACTGCCTGCCCAAGACCCCCCTTTCCCCAGTAGCCATGGACCTCACTCCCTCTTGAAAATGCTTCTGGGAATATGGGATCTGGAGTGTGTTTGAAACTGATGAGATAAAGAAAAACAACTATAAAACTTTATGCTATAAACACTTCTGAGGCTAGTATTACATACAGCACAGTCAACCTTATCCATATAAATCCATGAGCTGCTAATTCATTGAACAGTTAATTGCTCTTTAGTTCCTGATATTTTAAAGAAAATGAGTTAACACTGGCCATTCATTTAGATAAAACTGTGAAAAGTATAACTGTGTTTTTTTAAAGGCATTTTTCATTGCTAATGTGAAATCAATGTTAGCTGTGTAGTGTCTGGTTTTAAATATGTATTTTAAATTTAAATTTTTGTGGTTTCTGTATGTTTCAGATTCATTGTCTGGTCCATAATGTTTAATATGATTAATATATATTTTTGTGGAGAGGTTAATGAAGTATTTAAACCAAGAAGTGTTGTGGATTTACCTATGTATCTTGGGGTGTAGGTACTAGTTACTTAGGCTTTCCTTTAATTTACAGGCTCCTGCTCCATCTACTCTGAGATTGACTTCCTTTACAATGCTTTTGTTACCTTTGGTGAATTGATTTAGTTGGGATATTGCTGCATTTGCTGATTCCATCTTTTATAACTGATGTAATTTTTTCATTATTTTTTTCTGAGTCACTACAGTTGTAAAATTTAAAAAGTTTAACCTAGCTAGATGAGATGAGCTTTATGGCATGCTCAGTACCCAATCAGTTCCCCAGTTTTTCTGGGGGACTAGGGAAAATGTGGATAGTGAAGGGAAATGATGGACTGAATAAGGCTGAGAAAAATCTACAGGGGAGCGCAACACACAGAGGCCTTTTAATTTTGTAGCTACAATGGGTGATATATATTCAGCAG